CTGCGCACAGATTTGAAATTTTGAATGTAATGATTACAAAACCCATCACAGACCTGAAAAAACTAACAAAACTCCAACTATAAAAATTAGAGCCAACTAACAACAAAACTAAACACGAAACCTTCAAGTCGTACACTCGCAAACCTAATAGATTAAAAGCCATTACCAAATAACTTTCACCCAATTTGTTCTTCAAGGCAAACCCAAAATTACTTCCCCTTACCTCTTCAAGATTGGATAAGCCCACCATGGCTATCCAACAAGAAACCAAACATGGACACATAATAGGGAGAAAAACAAACCAACAAAACCAAAAGGGAAAACATTCAACCAAGGAGCAGAAACTTATACTAAACATGAACATAATAGCTTCCTAAAGGAAGAACCAAGGAGAGAAGACTTACAGAGCCTATATCAGAGCACCAAAAAAACAAAGAAGAAAACCAGAATAGAGAATTTCGAAATTAATCGAAAATCTACGAAACCCTAACCCTAACTTCACGGACTCTTATTTAGAGATATGATATATAAATAGGATTCATGCCTAGGGTTGAAATAAGACACAATTAACAAATCTGTGAATTATGACACAAGTCAACCAAGTTCCCAAAAATCCTAATCTCTCTCTCTCGACAGCCCTCCCCCCCTCTCTCTCCTATCCGTTGGTCGGCCGCCTCCCTTGGTGGCGCATGATGTTTGTGGTGGTAGATTGATAATTTGTTAATTGGTATGATTTAAGGGTGCTTTTAAAACTTGTTTTCGTTATTATTCAACATCAAAGTTCATTATTTATCTTATTTTTATGCAAATTTTGTACCATTCATGCTTCACGGGTTGTTTGTGTTTTAGATGTAATGTAGCTATTTTTAGCACTATGGATGTGATGATCAAGCATGATTGAGCGAGGAAAAGGGCAAGATTGGTTGATGGAGCGCAGCAATGGAGGAAGAAGGATGAGTTCCTTAAAGACAAATGAAAAGCTTTTGGAAAGTCTCGAAGGGTTGTTTGCACAAGGGTCAACTTAAACCGGTTTAAATTGGAGATTAAATTTCGTCTTAAGAGCTTTCCAACAACTGGTCACAAGTCCATTTCCGGAGAGAAACAAAGAAGTTACAGCCTCTTGAAGTCAAGATGTTCATGCAGGGGTTTCTGCACGGACGTGCAACAAAATGGCATTTCTGTGCAAGGCTGCATGCCCGCGCCAAAATCTGCACGCCTGTGCAGACCTGGGCAGTAGGTTTTGCCTCTTTTTTACCTCTCTTGCACATCCGTGCCAACTTTGGCACGTCCATGCAAGCTTGTTTTTGGGCTTTTTCTCGTTTTCTCCGTCTTTTTTATTTGGGGTAATATAAATACCTTCTTAGCTCCGATTGTATGAAGGGAGGGATCTTGTTAATGTAGTTTTAGCTTAGGTTAGGGTTTTAAGAGAGACAAACTCTCATTTTCTAGAGAGAAAAAGTGGGAAAAACTTGTTGAAAGCTTGGAATATGAAGAATTGAAGGAAGGAAACATTTCTTGCATTATCAATGAGAATTTCTTACTCTCTCTCTTATTTTATTGCTTTAATCGCTTATTTTTGTATCTTTTCTAGATTTATTACTTGTTTATATTAAATTAGTGTTTGATTTCATGTTTTTAGTTGTTAACTCCTTTAGTTTTGCAATTTATAATTATTTGTGAGTAGTTCTTTTACTTGGGATGGTTGAAACAAGTGATGAATATTTGTTTGCATGTGTTGATTTAGATAATGTGGGGTGTTAATTAGTTGAGTTTAAGTGTTTTAATTGTTAGTTCTTTTAAGTGCCAATTGCTAGAACTATTTTCTAAGCTTTCTCAACGAAGGATCGAGAGATGAATTTGAGTTAGCTCCCTATTATGCTTAATTGACTTGAAATGCCACGAGAATAGGAATTTCCAGTCAAGGGAATGTTTATGTCATTGTGATTATGCTTTAACACATTTTTATGCTTTGTAACCACGAAAGTAGGTTGTACTCATGACTCAAGTAATCCCTCTAGCTTGAGAGAGTAGTTAGGTGCCTTAGATGACTATCCCTAATTTATCCCCAAATTTCTATGTTTTGTATGTTAAATTATAGTTTGTAAATGATTTAATTGGTGGATACCTCCCCAAAATCCTTTTTATTCTTGTTTGTAGTTTTTCTATGTAACTCTAAACCCAAAAAGACTTGATTTAGTTAATCACAATTCGATATTTGTTAGTGCTCTCCTTAGTCCTTGTGGGATCGACCCTTACTTGCCCTTTCTACCCATTACAGAGACCAAGTTAGGTTTTTATCTTTGGTAGGCTTGATGAGGGCCCATCATAGATCGTGGTTAGTTCGTGTCTCTTTTCTCCGTATAAGGTTGGTTGAAGCGTTCAATCACAACTAACTAGCATAGTGGAGGTTTAATCTTTGCATGTGGACCAAGTAGAGGAATCCCACTTGTTCTTGCTCGATCACACTTGGAATCACGCTTCAAAGGTATAATCATATGTTCTTTATGTGCTGTGCAATGATTTTGGTTATTAGATACTTATGAATACGATTCATGCAATTTCGCTTACAGTATCTAAAGTCTTACATTTTAGGGATCTAATATTTTTTAGTTTAGATCCGCGCTTTGTCATTCTTAGCCTTGTAGTAGACACGGGGGCAACTATTGAAATAACAACAACATACACTGTTGCTAAGAGACCAATTAACCAATTTCAATACTTAATTAGTTGATAGTGATAAAAATTGTGAAATTAATAGATTAAGCATTGACAAAATTAGGTTAAAGAGATAATGGAATGACTTAGCTTATTATTCATCAAAAGGTAGAGTTTTATACAAAAAGTACGCTCATAAGATAGAAAACAATCTTCCTAAACAAAATACTACCATAACTATATATCCTAAAGATATATTCATTAAATAATATCTTTAATATAAAAAAAACTAAATACATTATTCTCCTAATAAGATGAATACGGAAAATATATTACACATATATTTTCCGATATCTCATATCACTAACACCCTCCTGCAATCGTAACGATAGTTACACGAACGTTGCTATTAGAAATTCTTCACTTTGGTGAAGTCGACCGAGTTGCACTACGCTGATGACAACTTCAATTATTTATTTATTTATTAATGATGAGAACGTTCAGTTTTTTGAACTCATCAATCTTAAAAAAAAGCAGAAACATTTGTTTTCGAACCTTAAAAATAATAATTTTGGGTTTGAGCAAAACCTCCAATCAAATACTCCAATTGGAGTATTGGTTTTTCAGAGCAAACTACATTCAAATCTCTTATTAGTTTTATTTTAGAGCTAAACCAAACTCATATCCAATGGAGCAAAATCATACTCTAATCATATCACAAAGTATGTCTCATGACACTAGGAGAACTAATTAATAAGCCCTGTCTCACAAGTCATAACTCAAAGGGAAACCAATACATCTTGTCACATGACACAAGAGAACCGTTTTTTTAATTATGTTTTTTTAAAAAATTAAATCTCAAAAGTCAAATCTTATACACTTTGTTGTCACCTCAAAACAGCACAAACTCATCACAATTCACAAACAAATTAATATCATTGTCAATGAAGCCACGCATGATGTAACCTTCAATATCTCCAAGGCACTATATATGCACAGCGGAAGTAGTTAAAAAAAAATTTCTAAACATTGAATCCCACTAGAGGGTTTAAATTTCTAACCCATTGGTAGGTGATTTTTTTTTTTTTTTTTTAATTAAATGCTTTCAAGATCTAACCTGTTCTTGATACCATGATAAATCCATATTTGTTCCATCCTTGACATTTAAAATCACAAACCACAAATTTTTCATATGACACATGTCATCACAAGTTACTGATTACCCCATATGTCACATGTCACCTTCCTCAATATTTTTGTTTAAGTCTTTATGCATTATATAACTTGCAAATTCAAGGAAGAAAATGAAGTGTTTCATTTCCACCATAATTAGTACACCATAATATAAACATATGAATTATCGTAAAAAATTGTCTTTTCATCTCCTACACTTATAATGTAACTTAAACTAATATATCATTTCATATCCCACAATCTTCAAGTATATACGATATACCTAACCAAATTTCATCGTCTTCTTTCACAGTTCTACTCCGACTCTTTTTTTCTTTTGAAGTTTTAAGTTTTAGCAATGAAACAATTACTTTGTATATTGTACCAAAAGTTTTAAGTTTTAAAAAACATATATATATATATATATATATATATATATATATATATATATATGAAAATAATTAACCCAAGTAACAACTCGTGCATCGAACGGGCCAAAAGGCTGGTTTAGGTGAAAGAGATAATGGAATGACTTATATCTTATTATTCATCAATAGGCAAAGTATTATACAAAAGCTACGCTCATAAAATAAGAAACAATTTTTCTAAAAAATATAGGATGTTGTACTTTGTACATAAAACTAAATACTCCCTCTATTTTTAAATAATTGATGCATTTCTCCATACCCAGAGTTTTAGGAAATTTTGGAGAAAGTAGTAAAATATTGATGTAGTGGGGTTAGTGTAAGGTAAATTAGAGGAGAAATAATCTAAAAGTAATAAAATTAGATCTCAATAGTTGAAAGAAATGAATTAAATATTATAAAAGCTTGCCAATTATGGAAATGAAGCAAGTATTAAAAACGATCGCAAAAGAAAAGTTGACTAAGTATTTTAAAAATGAGGGAGTATATTCTTGTTCTAATAAGATCAATACAAAAAATATAATCACACATAAATTTTCCTATATCTCATATCTCTAACAAGGGTGTTTTTAGTAATCTCATAAGAAGACTTTTGTACTTTGTAGCTAAAAAACTCAGGAATTATTATTACATAAAATCAGCAGATCAAGCCGGAGTCTCGAACATCACAACCACATAGAAAGCAGAACACCAACAGAAGTTCGGGTGCATTACACTCTAACGTAGCAGAACAGTACACAGCCGATTATATTATAGCATGCATTAAGTTTGTTTCTGCAAGGCCAAGGACTTTCCCCAAGAAGGCCTAGCCAAGATATCCTTGCTCCAAGCGCTCACATGAGGGCGTTCATCGAACAACTTCTTCTCTTTAGTACCGAGCACGTAATGCAGGGTAGGCAAGTGATGAAGATCAGCCAAAGTGAAGGAATCACCAGCCAAACACTTGGACTTAGACAAACGAGCCTCGTAGACATCAAGGATCTTAACTAACTTAGCTTCGTTCTCTTCAACTACAGCGTTGTCAGTTTGTAGGCCGAACGTGCTCTTGAAATCAAGCTCCCAAGCGAGTTTATAGGCTACTGGATCAAATTGGTGAGCCTCGACTTCTATCCAAACAACTAGGTCGGCCATTTCCTTTCCTTTGTTGTACACAAGAGGAGTTCCCTTGCTTTCATAGTTGTATGCTATGTATTTTGTAATGGCCCTTGACTCTGTTTCAAATATGAACATTTCATATCAAAACATGAAAAAACTAATCAAATCGTCGCAATTTGTGTTTGTTTAGATATAGTGCCTTACCAAATAGCTTGACATATCCATCTTCAAGAGCTGGTACTTGACCAAATGGCTGCAGTAATTATACCACGAATAAATCAAGTGTTTTCTAGAGAGCCAAATCTAAACTATGAAGACTAATGGAAACCCGTCACGACTATTTCAATTATTGCAATCAAACAACTGAACAAGTTCCCTCAAGCTTAGAATGATAACTGCTGTTTTTTTGCTTTAAATAATTTACAATCATTAAAATATTACGGTAGTCATATTTCAAACGATCACTATAAAATTTTCATATTAATTTCCTTCTTTCATAAAATATTCAGTTCAGTTGAGTTCTGCTCCTATAAGTTCAGTTTAATTCAGCTCATTTCCTAACTGTCACAAAATTTTATATATTGGTTATCATTTTTAAAGGAATGAAGGTGGGGTATAATAAATCATTGATTATTCATCAATTATATATAATGGTATACTTCATCCGTTCCAATAATGTTGCAACAAGCTAATGATTAAATTACGTATTCCAAAACACATTTATATGTTAAATATCTATAATATTTAAGAGTAAAAATTATAAAAAGTTGATATTGTGAAATTATTTCATGAGACGAATACAATTAGTCACGTGACTATATTTTGCTTATCGTATAAATCATATTATATGGTCAAACAAGAGTAAATAGTGCAAAAAGTCTATTATTGCAATATTAATAGAACGGAGGATATATTATAATAATAATATACAAATTAAGGGGCCGTTTGGTTGGGGTTAATAATCAAAGGGAATCTGAATGAACTGATATCATTCCCTTTGTTGTTGTTTGTTTGTCACTTTTTTTATTCCCTTTACCCATTTTTATTTTTGAGTTCACCCATTTTTGGTCTATATTGATTCCCCACCCCCCTAGACTTTCCCATTCCCTTTCCCTAGCCACTATACCCACCATCGTTCTACTTGCCGGAACTTGCCCAACCACCTCGCTGCGGACCCAGTCACCTCGCCGGAACTCGCCGCACTCCCCCCCATCTCGCCGGAGCCCGCGCACCTCCCCCACCTCTGCCCTCGAAAATACCTGCGATCCTCTCCCCGGAAAATGGGAAAATCCGCCATTGCCGCAACAGGGGAGCTCCTGATCAAAATCCCAGCAACCATAGTCCACCTAATCAACAACCAACAAAGCATCGAGCTATCATACGACCATCTCGAAATCATCCTCCTCTGTCAAAACGACGCTGATGTTGCCGTTTTAGCAAGAATCGGAGATCAACTCCAATGGCCTTTAACAAAGGACGAAGCCACCCTCAAACTAGACGACTCTCACTACTTCTTCACACTCTCCTCCAACGACGACGTTTTGAATCGGAGATCAAAAGGACTGGAAACTCTGCTGAAAAAACTTTGATGGTGTTTTTTAGTGTTTTTGCGTGGGTGGTGGAATTTTTTCCGGGGAGGGTGGGGGCTGTGAGGGGTGGGGGAGGTGCGCCGAGGGCCGAAGATTCTCGTCGACGTTGTGGCTGGGCGGTGGGGTGGCTCGTGGTTCTGGAATAATGAAGAAAGGGGATGTGTGGTGGTGGTGGTGATTCCTTTTGTATTTTGAAAACCAAACAACATACTACTTGAAAAGGGTTTCATTCCATTCTCCTTTATTCTCTTTGTTCATTCCATTCCGATTCCCCTGCGCGAAACAAACGGCCCCTAATTATATATAATTAAAACACCCACTCCTCCCATCACTTTCTATACAATGGTGTTTTCTATTTATCAATTACAAGTTTACAACCACTAATCAATCTTTGGCACAGATATAACCACTACATCATCCTTTATCTTTTACAGATTTCTTTAAAGATTTTGAACGTACAAACGATTCAAAGTATGAAAAAAAAAATACCACTCCGTACAAAATACAGTTGAAAAAATGCCAAAAATAAAACTAGTACAATATTTGAATTATTTTGTAATGATACAATCTTTAAAGGGTATTCATTTTAAACAAGACAAAATCGAATTTTAAGTATGTTATAAGGATATGAAAGGAGATGGGGAAAATCCCCTCCCTTTCTCCCACTTCAAAACCCATTGAAAATTCGATTTTATCTTGTTTAAAATGAACACCCTTTAAAGATTGTATTATTACAAAATAATCAAAATATTGTATTATTAAAAAAAATAGATCAAAGGTTGTATTATTTTTGGCAATTTCTCCAAAATATTTTGAGAAGTAATTCAGGATTAAACTTTGATTGATTGTGCAACTAAACCCATAATACTCCTTTTTGTTCTTTTAAGTGTCACATACTTTTGTACATTACTCCATTAATTTTATGCGTAGTATGTAATCCTGGGCACCGTGCCGGGCCGTGCCGTCGCGGGCCGTGCCTGGCGGGCCACGGGCTGGTTTGTGCCGTGCCGGTCGTGCCGGCGGGCCCAGGATTTCGTGCCGTGCCGTGCCGACCATTTTCACAGGCCAGCCCACGGCACGGCACGGCCCTCGTGCCTGGCGGGCTCGTGCCGTGCCGGCCACGTGCCGGCCTGCGGGCTGGCAGCGGGCTGGTGCAGTTTTCAAATAATTTTTTTTTTTTTTTTTTAATATATGACAACATTATAAATTAATAAGTTTATAATTTATATAAGTTATAAAATTATAATTATAAGTTTTATAAGGTTATAACTTATAAGTTTATAACTTATAAGTTATAAGTTATTAAGTTATGAATTTTATAATTACAAGTTGAATATTTATGTTTTATAATTTGTATATTCAATATTTATATTTATATATTTACTTTATACTATTACTTTAAAATTTAATGTTTATGATTTATTAGTAATTGGTATAATTTTATTTTTTTTAATATGAATTTACAAATTGTAACAAAACGGGGAAAAAAGGCAAATTGGACTTTGGATGTGAATAATGCGTACTTTATATTGTTATTACTTGAGTTGAGAAAATTGTACAATGATAAAAATCATACAATGATGGTATTAAACAAAAATTGGAAAATGATAAAATTGATATTTTTAAAATCGTACAATATACAATAATTGTATATTCTTCTTCTCCTTCTTCTTGCTCGTCTTCGTCTTCGTCTTCGTCTTCGCCTTCGCCTTCAAGGTCATCGGCTAGTTGCATAGATTGAGAACTAGCCGAACCCAAACCGGAAGCGGAGGTTCCTTCTTCGTTGTCGTTGTGGTCGTAAGAACGGTCTTGTGAGCGATTTTCCGCATCCAACCAATCTTTGAAACACACGCACATTTCTAGTGTTTCGGGTTTTAGACTTGTTCTTCTATCATCTAAAACCCTTCCGGATGCTCTGAAAGCTCGTTCGGAGGCGACGGAGGAAACTTGGATAGCAAGAATGTCTCGTGCCATTGCCGCCAAAGTTGGATGCTTCGAGCTTTGTTGTTTCCACCATGCAAGGAGGTCGAGGCTGTTTATCTCATCGTCGTCCATGCCTTTGGTGAAGTCGTAACTCGGGTACATCTGCAACTCCGAGACGTCGCTTTGCGTTCTCCTGATTGATGAATCACCTGGTAGCTTGTGAAAATAAATGTTTGGCCTTCTTACTTACGTTTTTGGATGGTTGGGAAGGCCCTGAGCGAGGAACGGTGCCATATTTGGCTTCATAGACTCTATATAAAGCAAAAAACTGATCCCTCACATTAGTCTTATAGTTTTCTACATCATCGTCAAGAAACATGCATTGAAAGTAAATGTCAACTAACATAAATGTGTTTTCATACTTTTGCCTAGGATCTAATATGGAAGCAAAAATATAAATCAAAGGAATCTCACTATAATATTTACGCCACTTTTTTTCCATTGCTGGAAGATACTGATCATAATCACTTTGATGGCGATGATCAGCGAAAAGTTGGGCGAGTAAGCATGCATTAGAAAGAAAGTTTTGAGCACAAGGATTGTAAACAGTAGAAAAACAATACGTCATGTTATATAATAATTATAAAAATTGCATATATCTTTCACAGTTTTTCCAATCATCATCATACAAAGCATTTTGTGGAAATTTTTGGTTGTAAAATAATGTTAACGGGCCCTTGTACTCAATTGCCTTTGTTAACATGTCATAGGTGGAATTCCACCTAGTTGGGCAATCGGTTCTAATTTTTATTACCCTTATCTTTTGTTGTTTTAGAAAACTCTTCCATTCTTGGTATCTCATGTTAGAGCTATTAATAGACATAATAGCATCTCTGATTTTGCTGTAGTATGGGCCAATTGCCCGAACTCCATCCTGTACACATAAGTTAAGTACATGGCAAACACATCTAGTATGAAGAGCTTCACCGTCTAATAGTACATCGGTTAAGTTTTGTTTGATAAGATAAGCTGTGTATGTCATAGAGGTTGCATTATCAAAAGTCATAGACATCATTTTATCTCGAAGGTTGTATTCGTCTATTGCTTGCATTAAATGGTGAGCAATGTTAATGTTGGTGTGTGGGTATTCAAGCATTTTGAAATGTATTATTCTTTTTTGTAACATCCATTGATCATCTACCCAATGGCAAGTCACACATAAATAGTGATATTTATAACCACTATCCCAAGAATCGGCTGTTAAAGATACTCTACAGTTAAGGTTACTCAATTCGGCTTGTAACCGGACTTTGTACTCTAGGAAATTTTTCATTGCGGCGGAACGAACGGTTTTCCTAGAGATTCTTTTATGTTGGGGTTGTAGTGCTTTGTTAATGTAGGTGTTGAATGCGTCACTTTCCGAGAAAAGAAAAGGTTGTTCGGCGTGTACTATCATTTTTCCTAGTTCATCCCTATCCCTCTCATAGTTGTATGTAAAGCCGTATGGATGGAATTGGGAAATTTTGGGCTGGATTGGATCACTAGCTGGTTTTGCACAAGCTTTCATGTGTCTAGATAAGTGTCCCGTCCCGTTTTTGGTAACTGCCGTGAATACACTATTACATGTTTTATATTTTGCCCATTGTTCACCATCTTTACTTAGGACAAAATAACGTCATACCTCACTCCTTCGGTTTTTCAAAAGTAGCATCTCAGTTTCGGTTAACCATTCATGATGTGT